TTTGGTATCTCAAAGGCAGGGCCTGCTAGCCCAAATTTCATCATAGCAAAAATACATGCATAGTTGTAGAAGCTTCATCACAGGAGGCTTTCAAGGGGAGATTGGACTGCCATTTGTTGGGGATGGTATAGGCCAGGGGTTGGCAAACCACAGCTCTGGAGCCGCATGTGGCTCTTTCATCCCTCTGCTGCGGCTCCCTGTTGCCGATCGGCTCCACCATTGATAGGGTAGAGGAAAAAGGACGCCGCGCTAGGAGGAGACTCTATGGCGGGGGAACTGCCATAGAGTCTGGTCAGCTCCAGAATGGAAGGGTGGGGGGCAGAAGGGCTTCCAGTTAGGACCTTTGTGGCTCTTTGAGCGTTGAAGTTTGCCAACCCCTGATGTACTGTAGGGTCTCGTGCATGGGCGGGGGGTTGGACTAGATCAGGGGTCGCCAACCTTTTGGACCTCAGGGATCACCAAACTCATAATTTTAAATCCCACGGACCACTAATATGAATCCAGCATGCCACTTGCTGAAGTGCCTGGACTCCCACTGACGGATGGGGTCCTTCAGGCATTTAGCTTGGCTGCCTATTTCTGCAACCTTAAATACTCAAAGTCATTTGGACCCATTTCCCACAAAAAAACAAAACACCTGGACTTCTCATCTCTCTTTCTCCCCCCCCCCTTTCTCCCTTTCTCCCTCTTTCTCTTTCTCTCTCTCTCTTTCTTTCCCTCCCCCTCTTTCTCCCTTTCTCCCTCTTTCTTTCTCTTTCGCTTTCCCTCCCTCTCTTTCTCCCCCTTTCTCTTTCTCTCTCTCTTTCTGCCTTTCTCCCTCTTTCTCTAGTCACTAGATGAGGTCCCTTCCAACTCTGTTTATCTATCTATCTATAACATTTTGCAAGTCAAGGTAGCCTTCCCCCCGCCTTTCAAATACATATTCAGGAGATAATTGGCCTTCTCCAGCTTTAGCAGCTGGTGACATTGCATTTACACTCTTGAGGAACATTAAACCCAGTTTTTTTAAAAAAAGAAGAGAACAGAGCAGAACTTCTAACCCAAAACATCTGCAGAATAGCTCAGTTTTAAAAAGGGGGGGGGAGAAAAAACCCCCCACCATTCTACAAATTCATATCGCTTTGCACTTCTTTCCTCCTTTGCTTTTATTCGACATTGATCGATGCGGAAAGAACATCCCATCCTGAGGAAGTGGGAATTATAAATCCTTTTATAAATGGCTAAAAGGGGAATCGGAGGGAAGATGGGAAGATTGAAGAAGCCAGGGATCCAACGTGGTCCCTTTGCATCTTTATGAGAACTTTTTATGCGATTAAATCAGCATCGTCTTTGCATGGGAAATGAGGCTTTTACCACGCTGTGGGGCGTAAGGCTCACCATTCCATTGGGGAGAAATGCCATTGATTTAAGTGGCTTCTTCTCCTAAACGATATTTTAGAAGCTCAAAGTTCAAAGCGCTCCAGAAGCTAATTTGACAGGATGGAGGAACGGCCTGAGTGATGCAGAGATGGGAGACAGCCCGGGCTTTGCATACCAAAAGCCTTACGGGTTTTGTCCGTGGCAGCTCTTAAACTGAGATGAAAAATGCCTGCTTGATCCCCTTAAAAGGGTGGAAACGGGTCGAGATTAACCAGGGGAGGAATTCGGGGGAAAGAATGATGATGACAAGGTGGGAAACTGAACTTAGCAGAGGTTGACATTCCTCATTTCTGGGCTGGGTCCCAGATACTCTCTGAGCTTGGTGGTTTTCTTGCAGAAGTTTCGTGACCCAACTAGGTAACATCATCAGTGCTAGAAGGGAATGGGGTTCCAAGATTGGTGGAGGAGAGGAGGAGGAGGAGGAGGAGGAGGAGGAGGAGGAGGAGGAGGAGGAAAACTGTGGGGTCCTTGGTGCTCTCTAGAGCTTGGTGGTTTTCTTGCAGACATTTCGTGACCCAACTAGGTAACATCATCAGTGCTAGAAGGGAACGAGGTTTACTTGAGTATTGATGACACAACCTACTTTGGTCAGGAAATGCCTGCAAGGAAACCACCAACTTAAGGAATTTCAATCTTCTTTCCTTCCTTCCTTCCTTCCTTCCTTCCTTCCTTCCTTCCTTCCTTCTTCCTTTCCTCCTCTTCTTCCTCATCCTCCATTCCACAAACTCCACTCCCTTCTAGCACTGATGATGTCACCTAATTGGGTCATGAAACATCTGCAAGAAAACAAGCAAGCTCAGAGAGCACCAAGGATCACACAGTCCTCCTCCTCCTCCTCCTCCTCCTCCTCCTCCTCCTCCCAATCCCCACTCCCTTCTAGCACTGATGATGTCACCTAATTGGGTCATGAAACGTCTGCAAGAAAACCACCAAGCTCAGAAAGTACCAAGGACCCCACAGCTCAACCCCTTCTCACCTTCTCGCAAAAGGCAACCACATGACCCCAGGAAACTACGAACGTCATAAATACAGTACATGTCAATTTGCTGAGCGTCTGCATTTTGATCCCGTGACCACGGGGGATGCTGTGACGGTCGTTAAGTCTGAAAAACGGTCCTCCATCCATTGTGTCACTGCCGTTGCAACTTCAAACGGTCACTAAACGAAGGATTGTAAGCCGAACGCTACCTGTATTTCTGGCCTCAACTCACCTCTGAAAAAGAAAACCTCCCCACGGATTTGAGCCACAGCATCAAAATGGGTGCTGCATCTGTTTGGCACGTCTCTTCTAAACCTTGGCAAAAAAAGGGGGAAGATTTAAAAAAATAAAAGTAAAATGAACAAAGCTAATCATCAACTCACCGTCCGGCCAAATCACTTGGCTCAAACTCAAAATGAAACTCTTTTAATCCTTGCCAATTTCAGCAGGAGAGATTCGGAAATGCACCAAGGAGAACAGTGGGGAGACCTGAGCTTGCCTGCCTTAAAGATCTTCCCCCTTCATTTATTTTTAATTTAAAAATAACCCTTATTGGGATTAAAATATTAAAACACAAATATGTCTATAAAGAAAATAAGTTTGTACAATTTGCCATCGTTCTTTGACACAAGTACACAAGTCTTTGCTATATTCATACATTTCAAATATTCATACATTTCAACAATTTCTAATGGATCCTTTACATATACAAATTTTATAGTTCTAACCTATACGTTTCATATTCCGACTATCTATCCATTGATATCCGTTATCCCAGATGAAATAATGTTCCGAGTCTTCCTTATTGCTTAATTCTGTAGTGAGTTTATTCATTTCTGCACACTTAAAACATTTTACGAATTATTAAACGATCTGTCGGTATAGTGGCCATTTTCCAAGCTTGTGCTAGTGCAATTCTCGCTGCCATGATAATATGTATAATCAAGTATTTAATCTTTTGGGGGTATTTTCCCATTTATTTTTGTTTTTAAATTAACATCCTGGGACGGACTCTTTTATCAACCAGGTTTGCAAAATCCAGGCAGCGTATAGGATGAGAATGACCTATTTTCCCGGCGTTAAAAAAAAATAAAATAAAGCAAAATTCTTCAGCTTGAATTTACTCAATTTCATCCAAAGTTATCACAAAATTACATCTGCCGAGAGGAGAGAAATTGGGTGCAACTGAGCGGGCTTGGAAGCCGTAGCTTGCATGTCGCTTCTTGCAAAAAAAAACAAAATAAAATGACTTTGAAGAAGATAGCATTAACGTCTCTTCATCACTGGGGATTGTGAAAATGGGACACGAGAGATTGGCCATTTGCAAGAAGGGTTATAATTGTTATTTTTTCTTCTTCTCCAGGATAAATGTCATCTTTGAAACAGACTGAGCCACGGAATTGCTAGCTCTCTTCGTGGCTCAGGGTGGAAGTTTAGTGTCAACTAAAAAATACTCCTTTGGTCTTTTAGTTGCTAGCAGAAAGGGTGAAAGCAGAGCATTCCTCAAATGCCTCAGATAATCGCTTTGGCAGCCCAAAGCTGTCGGCGGGCAAGAGTATTCCTGGAGAGCATGATTGATGACTCTTGGCTATGGATGTGTCCCATTGGAGAATATACATCCAGGGGGTGGGGGGAAGACCAGGGTCAAGGGGGAAATGAATGATGTATTTTAGTGTTGGCTGCACCCAGCTAACGCCAACATGGCCACTCCTAATAAATCAATTTTGTTTACTCTTGAGAGATGCGGTTAGAGACTTATTATTTGAATGGGGGTAGATTTGTTCGAGCCCTGACAGTTAGCTTCTTTGGATCTTCTCGGAAGGGTGACCACTTTTGCCTTCTGATCAGCAAGCCCTCTCTTTTGATATTGGCCAAGTCTTTCCCCAAAAAATATGGGACGAAGGAGGCAAACTCCGTTTTGAGGAATGGTGGTGAAAAATCGCAAGGAACCTTGGACTCCAAGGGGATGTTCATCAAATATTGGGTACATGTTAGATCTCTCACAGAGAACCAGGTTCAAACAAAGACTGTGTTTGAAATGCATGGTCATATCCTCATGGTCCCATTAGTGTTTAAAAGTGGATTCCCGATCTTTCCAAAATGGGGATTTAGGACACCATGACCTCATCCACCAATCTATCTTAGATGCTTCCTCTCCAGAATTTGGTCTCCAATCCCATAAACTCCACTACTTCTGAAGGCATCTGATGGAGGATGGCTGCTATGCATCTTCCCTATTTTAAAGGCCTTCCTCTCTCATAGAAGTCAAGAGTGGTGCAGTGGCCTAGAGGTGGAGCTCTTGCCTCACAACTGGGAGGCTGTGAGTTCGATCCTAGGTAGCGGTAGATATTTCTCTCTCTGGGCACACTGAGAATATATCTGCTGGGAAAAAAAACCTCTGCACTGGTGACAGGAAGGGCATCCGGCCAGTAAACACTCAGCTCCATTCAGTTGCCCCAACTCCACCCTGATGCAAGGAATTACGGGTCATTAGAAGACCAAAAAACAAAAAAAAACCCCCACCAAAAATAATCTCTGATAGAAGTACTCAAATACTTTCTGAGAGAGGATATCTGGAGCTGGGATGGCAGAACATCTATTCTGTTCATGTGCAACCCAAATTCTCACCCGATCCTAATCCAACGGTCCTTTCAGTTTCTATTCCTTCCCAAAGAAATGGGGATGTACAATTTTAGCTTACGGGACAGTGGAGCGATTCTCAGGGAAATCTGGCAGGATGGGATGGTCATCTGCTTTCGATATTTCAGGTTTAGCTGTCGGAGACACGGATTCTCTGACTCCTGCAGAGGAAAAACAAGGATGAGGTTAAAGCAAAGTGGACATCAAGCAGATCATACAAGCCAATGTTTCCAGAGATAGCATCTTCTAAGATCGTCTTTTAACCACCCCATAATCCCTTGCGGGGTGGACTCTGGGCAACTGAATGGAGTTGAAGTGTTTACTGGCCAGGTGCCTTTCACGTTGCTGATATGAAGTTATATTCAGCAGGTATATTCTCATGTGCCCAGAGAGAGAAATAACTGCCTCTACCTAGGATCGAACTCACAGCCCCCTTATTCACTTTGTGGAGTTTATCTATCTGCCTTTGTACAGTACAGGACAGGCAGAATAAATACTGAGCCAAAGAATGTGTTAAAGAGGTTGACTTCAATGGTGTCGTCATTGCAGTCTTTACCATTAGGTCCTTTCAGGGGTGGGATGGATCTTGAGTCTTTTAGTTTGTTGTTTACAAAGTTGTAGAAAGCGTGGGTGGAATTGGTGCGAAGAAGGTTTTCCTCTTGTTTAATGTGATAATTGGTGCATTCAGTCTTTATCTGGTGGCATACATTTTTGTATCGGCTCAAGTTGGCAACGTGACCAGATTTCTTTTTTCCGCCAAAGTGATCTTTTTTTATTTATTGAAGTTTCCTTATTGTTATGGGTAATCTGTTTTTTTCTGGTCTTGAGAGTTGTTATTGGTACATATAGTTAGATGACTCTTTTGACTTCAAATAAAAATATGTTGTAATGGTCTTCAACAGTATTGCATCCAGTGAATAGAGATTGCCAATCAAGGGATGAGAAATCATCGTCTATAAGAGCATAGTTGCCTTTTTTGAAGTTATAATTGGGGATCACGTTGTTGTGATGATTTTTGTGCAGACCTATGTTGATACAAAAGTCAACCATGTTGTGGTCGCTGTTGGAAATTCGTATTCCGTAAATTGAGTTCAAACTATTGCAGAAGATGAGATCGAGGCAGTTAAGTCCAGTAATGTTGGTTACTAGTTGTTCCAGTCCTAGATTTGTTACAGCATTGTAGAACGTTGCATGTATGGGTTCAGTTGTACATTCGTTTAGGGTCCAGTTAATATGAGGTAGATTGACGTCACCAAGAAAGATAAAAGTGTGTGGGCAGGATAATTGATTCAGTGTGGTTTGTGGTTTTTTTTTTTTTAATTTATAAGTATTTTGAGTTTGAACGGAAGTTCTTCCTTTTCGCAACTGTTTGTGGGGGCGTTTTTTCTCCAGTCAATGATATTTGGACCTTTGAAGCCAAGTTGAAGGAATTAAAGGGACTTTACCTGTTTCTGTGACTTTGTTGCTTTTGTATCCCACCCTGGGTCATCACAGTAACAATGAATGATGTGACTCAGAGTCGGCTCCACCCAGGCAGTGCCGGACATGTTAACTCCCAATAAATCCTCTTGAAGTTTTGGAAGTTTGGCTCAAGACTCGTGATTTAATTGGGGGAAACTGCCAGAATCCCAACACTGTCATTAAAAACATTAAAGAGTTGGATACTGCAATTCTCACTTTTACGTAGAGTGGGTGGGAGAAAGATCCACAAGAACTATAGCTCTGGATTACCACCAATGCAGGTAGTCCTCGACTTATGACCGCAAAGGAGCTCCAAATTTCTGTTGCTAGGCGAGACAGTTAATTTTGCCCTATTTCAGGGCCTTTCTCGCCATAATTGCTAAGTGAATCACTGTGGTTGCTACGTTAGCCACATGCTTGTGAAGCAAATCTGCCTTCCCCATTGACTTTGCTTGTCTGAGGGCTACAAAAGGGGACACCCCAGGACCCTGCAAACTGTCATAAGTACATGCCAGTTTCCAAGCATCCAAATTTTGATCGCATGATCATGGGGATGCCACAATGGTTGGTACGTATGAAAACAGGGCATAAGTCCCTCTTTTCAGTGCTGTTGTAACTTCAAACGGCCTTCGGACGAACTGTTGTAAGTCAAGGACTACCTGTAATGGCCTTTTAGTTTTTTTTAAAAAAATAATAAAACAGGCGCCCTTCTCCAATTAGCTGAGAGGGGTTTGACATTCACCATACAACTGCCAAATCCGGACTTTGTCTTCATACGGCAAATCATATTTCAGGGGGTCACCGACCGGTCCCTGGTAGTACGGCCTCATGATTGATTCGGTGGCAGAGATGTGGGTTAAGCCGATGGCGTGGCCAAATTCGTGGACTGCCACAGCAAACAGATCCATTCCGTCGGTATCTGAAATTAAGAGGGAAGACCCATGTAGACCAATGCATAAACAAGGAGCTTCTACCTTTCCCTTATGTTCTTGTCCATCCATCCATCCATCTATCTGTCTGTCTATCTATCTATCCTAAAATCCTTATCCTCCTTGAGCAGACAGTTCCTCAATCTCTATCATCTATCTATCTATCTATCTATCTATCTATCTATCTATCTATCTATCCA